TTGACTTTTTGGGTAGGCTTTTCAACCAATGCCGAGCTGGTCCCTTCAGTTTGAGAGGAAGGTATTTGATGGCATGGAGGTCATCTCCACGAGCCATGTGTATGTGGAGGATAAAGTCCTCGATCCAGACCCCTGGGTCTGTCGTTCCGTCGTATGCCTCTATGTTTACAGGTTTAAAGCCCTGTGGGAATTCATGGTCCAGTACTTCATCAGTAAAGCGCAGGGGGTGAGCAGCCCCTCTGTATCTGGACGCGCTGTGGCATGCCGTCGGCTGTTGTTGTGTTCGCTGTTTGTTCTAAACTGGTGTTTGGTTGTCATAATTGTTTTGACGACCATAGTCCTTCGCTGGGGTGTCTCTTTTAGATCCGTAGATGGACCTAGTTGCGCCAGCTTTCCTCTCCAGGTGCTCACGTAAATCGTGGGCATCTTTGGCAGCTGATTTGTTGCGATTATGAAGTGGTACTCCTGGTCTCCTGGTCATGTTGTTCTTCGGTGGAAGAGCCTCGTCGTCGAATTCTGGTAGTAGCTTGTGTTTTGGGTAGCTCTTTGTATGGCGATCGTCGCCGTATCTTTCTTCGGTGTCTAGCACTTTGTTCCATCTGCGATTGAGCGTTTCCTGTGCGGTTTTAAGCCGTTGCTTATGCTTCTTCGGACATCTCGCTGTGGCCATAAGCTTTCTGTGCAGGTTCTTTCATTCCACGCGTTCTTCCGGAACGATGAATGCGTCGTCGTCTGGACTGTCTTCTTGTCCTGGGCCGGATTGGTGAACTCGTCCTTCTGGATTGTTTTCTTCAGGCGTATGACCTGGACTATGTTCGGCGTGACCTGGTTCATCCTACTCCATCGCTGGTTCTGTTTGGTCGTTATTGCTTTCATGGTTGACCAGAGTATCCATTCTTCTGGCGCTCTTGCTGATATTGTTACTGTTGCCGGATTTGGAACAGCGTCTGCGCCGTCGCTTTGGTTTTTGCCCAGGGGTGTTATCTTCCAGATTGTCACCGTCGCCTTCCTTGGGCGTATCCACCATGTATATGTCGTGTGGCGAGGCGTGAATCCGGCACCTCATAGATTCTAAGTCTTCTCCTGCATCGTCGTCCATACCGTCGATGCCTTCGGAGTCGAAGTCCAGCACGTTGGTTAAATCATCAACCGTGGCTATGGGTGGGCAACGAATGTCTTCATCGCCTGCTTCCCACTCGAGCCGGATATAATTCTGCCCGAGATTCTCTGTCAAAGAGAGGGTTTTGAATGAGTTTAGTATGTCGCCGAAGGGCGAGTGCTGAAAGATGTCCGCCGCGGCGAAATCCATCACCAGAGCCCAACCGAGATCGGCGGGCCCGGGGACGCACGGACTGGAGCCTACAACCGGACACGAGTCCAGGGGCCCGGGGTCACCGGTTTCCTCAAAAGTGAAGCATGTGTTCGGCTCCATCGCCGATGAGGGTACGGCCTGTGGGGCGGGGTCCAGCCCTCCGTCTTTAGGCAACGCAACCTGTCTCGGATTTAGGTCCGGGGCTTCTGCCGGGATGATATCCCAAGCAACATCTGACAGCAGGTCTAAGCCGTGCTCATCATGACTGTTCGGCGCTTCTGGCGTTGGCCCGAATCCGCCGAAGATCAAGTCTCCTCGGGTATCCGCCGTGTGGTTCAGGTTTCCGAACCCGATTTGAGGGCCAGGGGCATAGCTATCGATCTGCTCCAAGTGGTCAAGCGAATTGTCCCGCAGCGCGAAGCCGCCAAACACGAAGGTCTGTCCGGGGAGGAAAGTCTCACCCTGGGCAGCGTCGTTAATGACGATCGAAGGAGCCATCGAGCCTGACGGCGACGTCACAGAGGAACTCTCAATGAAAGCACCAATGTCGGTGTCAAAACCGGCAGATCTCGGGTAGGGGGTCTCGATCTGTGCGTCAAGGCTGATGGTAACAAGAAGTAAGGGACACAGATGTTTACCAGGTTCGGGCCCTCTCGATGGAGGTAAAACCCTACTTCCTGCTTGATTAATATTGATGATATGGGTAGTACAAGAGTAGATCTACCATGAGATCGTAGAGGCTAAACCCTAGGAGCTAGCCTATGATGGTATGAATGTAATCGTGATCGGCCTTCTAAGGACCAACCTCTCCGGTTTATATAGACACCGGAGAGGGCTAGGATTTACATGGAGTCGGTTACAAAGAAGGAAATATAATATCCGGATCGCCAGGCTTGCCTTCCACGCCAAGGAAAGTCCCATCCGGACATGGGCCGAAGTCTTGAGTATTGTATCTTCACGCTTCAATAGTTCGGACGTTGTACGCAGTCCAGCTGTCCGGATACCCCCTAATCTAGGACTCCCTCACCCCCCCCCCCACACTAATGATTTGTATTTTCCCCTAGTGATTTTTGGCTAGCTCTGCCACTGCCTCCTTGCAACACGAGCTAAGGAGGGAGCCCATCATGTAACCCCTAAACGCAGCCTGCAGCCCCTTTTGCACTGCTAAGCCACGCCACAGCCGCCCCACCGCCGTGGAGGAGACAGATGCAACATAAACGTAGCATTGTTGTTTGGCTACACAGAGGGCTTCCATTTATCGAGGAAGTCTTGTTGTATTCTGAGATATAACATCTTTGACCTATGCAAAGAAAATATTTTAGCAGTTTTATCCTTGAAGTTGCCTACAAGCACCTTCATGCAATTTTACGAGAATAACCTGCGGAAATGTAGACTAGACAAAATTAAAGAAATAGGGGGTGTTTGTTTCAAGGGACTTATTGGTTTAGGGACTTAAAAAAGTCCCTATAAGTCCCACCTAAACCAAACACAAGGGACTTATTGGGACTTATTGTGATGATTTGGGACTTATCAAATAAGACTCTCAGGGAGGAGCTTATTGGGACTTATTCGCTCCAGGCTCGTTCCCTGCACGCCCCGTCGCCGCCCCGCCTCTCGCCCCGTCGCCGCCTCGCCTCGGTTCGCTGCTCCGTCACCGCCCCGCCTCTCGCCCCGTCGCCGCCCCGCCTCGGTTCGCCGCCCCGTCG